CAGTAATGAGTCTGTAAAGACAAATGAGCAGAATTGTTCCAGATTATAAAATTGAGCTGCTTCTCACATGGGCTCCAAGGTTGGTAGTAGCAAGGATTTATTTCTCAACAATTCTAGGGGCAGTCCCTGCCAGCTAACATTTGCATCATAGAGGAAGCACCATCATCCAATAGAAGAATGGTTTAATTATTCAATAAATAATGTTAGAAAAAAATGGTATGACGTGACAATATTTTTAAAGTATTAACTGATTTTACATCAAATATTCCTTCATCCCAGACCCTCCACCATTCAAGCAAGACCATTCTGGGCTTAGTGGAAAATAGAAAATATAAGTAGAGTCTTCTTATGGTTTTGGTATCCTAACCTTAAAGCCCTTAGAGAAAAGAAAGAACTCAGACTAAACAAAGCATTTGGAATAAAAACACCCAGGGCTAATGAAAAGCCCTCCACTAGAATTAGAGCTAAGTAATCTCGCAGAGGAATTCTGAGGGTGGGATTCAGGAATGTGTGTTTTTACAAACACTCCAGAAGATTTCTGTGCGCACTGAAGTTAGAGAATGTGTGGGCTAGATCAGTGGTTCCCAGCTGGGGGCACAGTCGATCACCTTCTGCTGAAGGCCCCTCCCAGAGATCTGTAGGTTGGGAGTGGGGAGGGAGGCCCAGGCCACAGATTTTTTTTTTTTTTTAAAGCTTCCCAGGTGATTTTAATGATTAGTCGAAGCTGAAGAGCCCATTAAGGGCTTTTATATTTTTACCTGAAAGAGAGAAAAATCAAAAGAGATCATACTGGTTTTTGTTCCTGCTTATCTTTTCATGATGTGACTGCCCAAATTTATAGAATACTTCCAGGAAGTTTGGAACCCATTGACAAACTAAATTATGCTCAATGTATTGTATTCTAATTCTTTGCAATTTAACCATCCACTTACAATATCTATGACATTCCCTAATAATGATATTAGATTTATCATATTTTAGCACAATTATTAGTTATGCTGGAAAATAAAGCACTTACTATATAACCCTATATAAGTTATTTTTAAATGAAATATTCATATACATACATATATATAGTGTGTGTGCGTGTGTGTGTGTGTGTGCATGTGTGCGTGTGTGTGTGGCCAGCCGGTACAGGGATCCGAACCCTTTACCTTGGTGCTTTAACACTGTGCTCTAACCAACTGAGCCAGCTCACTGGCCAGCCCCTTAAATGAAGTATTTCTATCCTCCCATAACTAAAGACAAATTTCTCTAATTATAACTCTAATTTCTCTGAGTGTCATGTTTTGTGATATATTTGTTCAATTTTAGGCCAAATATCACAATTTTCACTTTTTTCTTTTTTCTTTCTTTCTTCCTCCTCTTCTTCCTTCGTTCCTTTCTTTAAAATATAATTCTTAAAGTCTACTAAGTTTAGTTGGATATTTTTCTAATAATTTAATTTAGCTAAATAATTTTCTAATAATTTAAATCTCTAAGTGACATTAAATTAAATTTTCTTCCACCTTGCTAAACATCTTTGAAAAGAACCTGTTGAAGGCTGAAAAATTCAGCTAATTAATTAACTAAAGTAACGAATTTGTCTGATAAAGATATGTAACTGCAGTTTTCACTGAGGTTTGTTGAATTTTGTAGTGAATTTCCATAAATACCCTGTTTCTATCTTCTGCCTTCTGTAATGTATGAGTATACTAATAAACATACTTCTTTTTATTTATTTTATTTATTTATTTTTTGGCAGCTGGCCGGTGCAGGGACCAAACCCTGGACCTTGGTGTTATCAGCACCACGCTCTAACAAACTGAGCTAACCAGCCGGCCCCTATTCTTCTTTTTAAACTAATACAAAGACAAAATAATAACTTTGGACTAGATTCCACCCAAGAAATGGCAGAAGAGCATTAGTTTTGCCTGGGAACGTGGACTTTTCCTCTGGCTGCCTGAGCTCTCTGAGTAGCCTTTTGGTAACAGGGTCAATGTTGCCAGTGCAATGTCTGGCTGTCAGTAGTTTTTCTCTGCATATACTGTACCCAGGTCTTTAGTGACAGGTTGGGGCACTTCAGGAAGCAGGCACAGGGAATGGCAGGATAGGAAATGAATACTTCCTGCAGCAGGGAGACATCAGCCCAGGCAGCCTTGGCCATCAGTAAGTAGGGTGACAGATCATCCTTCTGTCTAGCTTCCTCTGATTCCTGAAAATTCAGGTTGAATATCACCACCCACAGGAATGTCTTCATTGTCCAGCACTCATTCATTGCCCCTGTATTTTTATGCTTTCCCTATTAGTTTGAATATCCCTTTATTCCAGCACTTATCACATTTCCTTGGAATTGTTTGTGTATATAACCATCTTCCTCACTAGGCCACGGATACCTCAGGACAGTGGCTTCTCATCACTGGACCTGAGAAATGTTCCATAATTACTAATGAACAAATGGAAGAATTTGTTCTTCTTCCATGGCTAGCACACTCTGATGGACATGAAGGCGAGAATGTGCAGAATCATGTTGCCACCTGATTGTGCGTGGCATGTCCTCTATCACAATCTCGCCCACTCTTCTGTTATATTTCCTAAAATCAGCAGTATAGACACTTATAATTTTCTGCATATACCATGTTATTTCATGCATCTTTCTGCCTTTAAATTTTCAAATTTACACACCTCCCACTTTGGGGATGGGAGGGCTGGCAAAACCCTACCAGTGTTTAAAGTCTCTGTTCATGTATTGTCTTCCTCCAAGAAAATGTGACATCAGTCTCCACTCTCCTTCCTCCCAAAGTTGAACTAAATATCCCTGAATTGTGCTCCTACAATATCCTTTCTTATAATTCACTGGCCAGTTTAAACCACACTCTCTATTTCTTCTAGAAAAAATAGTGACTGATGCCCACTGCAAACTGAATGTTCTTCAACAGTAGGAAGTGCTGGAATACCCACACACCTGCACCTAAACCGGATGCTTGCTGCGATCCACTGTGTTTGTTCTCAAACCTATTTATGCCAGTTGTACTTGTTAGTGTAATTAGGTAATTTAATTAGATGTGACTTAAGGGAACAGCACATGAGTGAAGAAAGAGTTGTATTTTCTGTGAAAACAGATGCTTCGGAAACAGATAAGCTGCTAAAAAATTGTACCGTTGAATTAGCTGTACATGGGACAACAGACTACGAGGCGGGGAAAGGGTATGTAGCAATCTTGAAGAAATCTCTTCTCAGATTTTCTTCAATGCCCCTTAATTTCTACCTCCTCTTTATAAAATGCCAGGCTGGAAATTGTTGCAGATGCCTAATGAAAGTTGTTTATGGAACTGCCACCAGCAGACCCATACCACAAGAGAAGCCCTTAGCCCCATATCGAAAAATTAGTGGTGTATGTATTTTAAATTAAAACAAAATGTCTAAGGCAAGCATGTATCATTTTTACTTGTCCCAATCCTGTATTGTATTGAAATGATGAGGGGAGAGGGGAGTCTGTCTCCTTCAGTAGATGGTGAGTTTCTTGAAGACAGCGATTACGTCTTGCTTGTCTTGGTAGGATGTGTGCCTGGGAAGAGTGTTTGGATCCCTGAGGACTTTCACTAAGTGCTTCTTTACCCATTGGAAAGCTGCACTTGTTTTTGTACAGGAGGGTTCAACAGTTGGGTCTCTTTTGGCATTTGTGCATTACAGCCACTAGGGGGCAATGTAGTCGCATTCCTTTGTAATGACCATCCAGGGTCATTACAATGTGACGAGCGTCCACTAAAATGCACCGGAGAACCTGTGGCATAAACATTTCACCAACACCGGCATTCTTTGTGTATGTTTCCCCTGTTTATTTGGATGAGTTGACTGATGTCCATCTCTTGTAGACAATAAAAAGATGAACTAGTAACTACCATCTCATTATCTTATTCAAGACCAGACAGTTTCTGGAAGGAAGAAATTGGCGGGAGTGGGGGGAGCAACCCTCACATAAAAGTTGTGAGTAGTATTAAGGATTATCAATTGGTACAGTGCACTCCGCAGTGTTTTACAGACGAGTCTTGGAGGAAATGCTACTGAGGAAGTTATGGAGAGCGAGTCCACGTGAACCGACAATCCTCAGCCCTTCGCCTCTTCCCCTGAAGGAGTCTTTTCCCAGGTCCCACGTGCCAGAATCACAGGCTCCAAAAATTAAGCTTCTAGTTGCTCATATATTTTCAGAAGGAATGTCCTCTCATAATAGCAAGAGGGTAATGAGATGAAAAAGAACTGAATTCAAGACATTGCCTTTAAAATGAAAGACCCTGGAAAAATAAAGGATGTTTATTTCACTTTTCACTGAGTTACCATGAAAAATTATTATTATTATTATTATTTTTTGTCTTTTTTCGTGACCGGCAACGGATCGCAACCCTCAGTGTCACGCCCGCACCTCGCTCAGCCAGTGAGCAGCCGGTCTGTATGTGGGATCCGAACCCTCGGCGGGAGCGCCGCTGTGCTCCCAAGCGGCACACTGTAGCAGTGCGCCACCGGGCCGGCCCCTACCATGAAAAATTATGACTAAACTGATGATTTGTGACATTAAAGGGTCAACCCATCTTGAGTCCGAAGGAGCTGAGGCCTCCAAATTCACATGTTTGGAACAGTAAAATCTGTTCCAAAATACTGTTTAAGAATCAATTAAACCTAAAAGATAAAACAGTCCAGTTTGCAGTTACCACAGGGTCTTGGAATAGCTGACCTAGAGGCCGAGTGATTCAGCTGAGTGATTCAGCACTTGGGGTTTGAGTCTCAGCTCTGCCCCTATCTAGTGACTAAGTTCAGATGACCGCCCTTTCCTGAGCACCAGTTTTACATTGCTCGTATGTAAAACACAGGGACAGGGAGATTGCACAAATGATCTCAAAACCTCTCCCAGGTCTAAACGATCATATATTTCTTTTCCAGGAAGAAGTCTTAGGAATTTACCCTTCACTTCCTTCTAAGAACACAGTCTTTTTAAAGATGAAGTATGAAAAAAACCACAATAATCATGCAAATTGCTATTTCTCAATCTACATTTAATTTACTTTGTCCTAGGGCGGGATCGGGCAGGGTCCAAGATATAGTTGGAACTAATATGAAAGAATTTTTCCAATGAAATAAGAACAGGATGTTGCTATTTAAACTTCACATAAATGCAAAATGTGCTAGTCTGTGAATAGAACAGAAACTCAAACAGTATTTGCCCCTGGGCTGCTCACATTTGAAGGGAGTAGTGGCAGTTTACTCAAAATTAATAAGTAAATAGATCGACATCTCAATGCTGTACAGACAGGCAGGCTGCCTTTTCAGTTTTTGACTCCTGATTTATTTTTCTTTTTCCCCTTTCCATGGAGAAGGGCAGTCAATGACTACTCAGCTCTTCAGGTGTCCCTCTGGAAAGCTGGCAGTCTTCCTGAAATACAACGAGGTGTGACAGAGAAGTTGTATCCCTCACCTCCTTAGAATATACAACTTCTTTAGTCCTATCACAGAAGGGAAACGAGAGCTGGAATCAGAGTGTGACCCTTGTGTGTCATCTCAGTTAGTTCTCTTGAGGGCACTGTCCTATAGATCTTTGTGCAAGGAGTTGAGTGAGAAACCGGCAACGTGAGACCCAGTGACTGCACCCACGGTCTCGTCACTAAAGCTTCTCTCCTCCTTACCTCTTCTTGTCCCTGACATGTGGGCTCTGCACAGCTGCCTTCTACTGACCTCTGGTAACACACTGGAGCCCCGGAGTCTGAACCACAAGCTTCCTCAGCTGGCGCTTCCTTCTCGTCCTCTGAGCCACAAGCTTCCTCAGCCGGCGCTTCCTTCTCGTCCTCTCCACAGGGCCCACCCCAGTTAGTGGACACACAGACGTATTACTACAGGAATACTTTTGGGGATGGACTGAAACAAGTCGCTGGGCCACCACTGACTGTTGCCTGGGGCTGGCCTTGCTTTCTTCACTTTGTGAGGAGGAGCAGTGCCTCAGTTGGCCCATCTGTAAGGTGGGGATATCACTGTGAGCTCGAAAGGAGTGAAGGCACGTACACCCTAGCACGATGCCTGGTGCAGGGCGCGCGGGCAAGCCACGAGCCTCGCGCTTTTGTCACCACGTGTGACGATGCTGGGGTAGGAAGCCTGCGCTGTGGAGGCTGGACGGCCTGAGTTTGAATCCCCCTCACTTGGAATATAATCTTGGGAAAGTCTGGAAGCCTCGATGGTCTCATTTGTAAAATGGGGAGAAAGCAGAACTTGCTGCCTGGGGAGGGGGCAGGGTGGGGGGCGGTGTGTCAGGCTGAAAGCAGAGCTGCTCGACTGCAGAGTAAGGGTCAATCAATGCTACTGTCGTTTTCATTGCTGCCCATGAAGGCGAGCTGAGCGTCGGTGCCCTCTGAGGACCACGACAACGGGCTTGGCGGTTCCAATCATCCTTGCGCTTCACCCAACGAGCTCTGGCGTCCCGGGGGCAGGAAGGCTTCCCTCACGAGGCGCGGGGGTGGGGTGGGC